ATGGGTTAGGCAACGCACATACATCCTCATTCAGGCATGAGATCTGACAGAAGCATTCATCTCACACACTTTGAGTAGTGCCAAATGACTAATAAAAAAAGATGGAGATGTTATAATCATTATCACTCAGAACAGACCAATGAACCTGTTCATGGAGACCTACTGGAGGTTCCTGCAGAGTTCAGCTCCAGCCCTGATCACACACACACACCTGCCTGTGATGGTCAGGTGCTCATCTGCTCCTCATTAACTGGTTCAGGTGTGTTTGATCAAGGTTGGAGCTGAACTCTGCAGGAAGGTGACCTCCAGAAGCATGGTCAGGCACCACTGTGCTGCTCACTATGCACTACATTTGAATGTGTGCTCTATGTAGTATGAATGGAACTCGGGTCTCATATGGCATCCATCCTTAGTCATGATCACATGACCTCCCCACTTCACTTTCATTCATGAATTCTCTCAGGGTGCACTATAAGGTAACGTCTATCAGATGCACACAACAGAATCTGTGCGGAGACAGTAGGTCATCCGGGAACATCTCATACACTGTTTTTGCAATAATATGAAGTCAGACATACCGCTCGGCTCACATGCATGATTTCAGATGCAGCCCTGGTCTAATGTGCCATATATTATATGCATGTTGATGAGTGTGTTTTGCGCCGCAGCTGGAGAACTGTAACTATGCGGTGGAGCTGGGCAAGAAGGAGGCCAAGTTCTCTCTGGTGGGCATCGCTGGACAGGACCTGAATGAAGGAAACCGCACGCTGACCCTGGCTCTGCTCTGGCAGCTCATGAGGAGGTAAAACACACACACACACACACACACACACACACACAAACACAAACACACACACACACACACAAACACACACACACACACACCTCCATCATCCTGCTGTCTGTCTGCAGATACACACTGAACATCCTGGAGGATCTGGGCGACGGGCAGAAGATCATCGATGAGACCATTGTGCAGTGGGTGAACGAAACACTCACACAGGCGGGAAAAGGAACCATCAGCGGCTTTAAGGTGAGCAGAAACACTGCTGACCAACACTGACCACTACAACAACCACAGCACTGACCCCTCCCCTGACCCACTGCCCCTCCCCCACAGGACGGCTCCATCAGCAGCAGTATGCCAGTGCTGGACCTGATTGATGCCATCCAGCCGGGCTCCATCCGCTACGACCTGCTGAAGGCGGAGGACCTGACGGATGAAGAGAAGCTCAACAACGCCAAGTAGGACACGCCCACTTCCCTCATTAGCATATTCATCAATATTCAACCAGTGATATGGGCTCTGTATCTCTGTAGCAGTCGTCACTGCAGGACTCCAGTCAGGCCATTCTGTTAATCCTCCTGTGCTGTAGCTGAAGCTGTACTGAAGCCAGAATCCTGCAGCTGTGTTTAACTCGCATGTGTGTGTGTGTGTGTGTGTGTGTTCAGGTATGCGATCTCGATGGCGCGTAAGATCGGAGCTCGTGTGTATGCGCTGCCGGAGGATCTGGTGGAGGTGAAGCCCAAGATGGTGATGACGGTGTTTGCGTGTCTGATGGCCAGAGGAATGAGGAGGATCTAGAAGCGGATCTCCATTCCACTGGTCGTCTCCTATACTCCATTATACGCCTGAAACAGCTCAGAGTACGCCACGCTGAACTGTGGACACTCACCAGGGGAAATATATTCATAGAAGCTGCCATGAGTCTGGATGATCGTCTTCAAGACCTTACAGTTCAATCAAGCTTTATCTGTGGAGGTCAAAGGTCGTGTGTGTGTGTGTGTGTGTGTGTGTGTGTGTGTGTGTGTGTGCAGTACAGAATGTTCTGATTTTCGTTCTTTAAATGACAGCAAACAAACATTCAGTCTCTGATTTTAATCTACATGTTGAGATGCCGCTACACAAATAAAAACAGTATGTTTTATAACTCCAGTGTGTGTTTGAGGTTTAATCCAGCTTTACACACACACACACACACACACACACACACACACACACACGGACTGATGTAAGTCTGTTCACACCAAACACAATGACTGAGGATAACGATACACACATGCTTCTGAAGTTATGCAAGCCTGGTATAAAATAAATATGAACATGCGAGCGCCTCAGCTCTGTGCCTTTCCTCTGAACCTGCTGTTAATTCACTCGTGCTGTTTTTATCCTCATACACTCACTAAATCCCCTGCTTGATTAGATCAGAGGTGCCCAAAGTAGAACCCGGGTGCCAAAGTTTGCCCGTGGTAACCTTTGGTTTGGCCCGCCATGCCATCTGAGAAGAGAGGGAGAATGACTGCAGCGAATGAGAAATTTCGTTTATTTGAGGAGCTGAAGAAAAAGCTAAATGAACTAAATGAAATGTTACTTTTAAATGTTGTAAATGAATCAGACTTTGGAAATGTAAAAACTGCCGCTTGACCGATACAGGACAATGCAGAAGACATCGGCGAGCAAATCAAGGCAAAGGCAGGAGCAGCTCGACTAGTATTGGTATCGGTTTGGTTTCAGAATTAGTAAATTAATGATGCAATACAAGAAAACACCATGTGATGGCAGTATTGCACACGCTACAGTGAGTGCAACCAGTCGAATTAGAACACACTCTCGGGTATTAAAATGCACTCGACCATAAAAAATAAAAAACGTCTCTGAACGTCATGTGTTGAAGGAAGAATGAACAACAGAATACTTCTTCACCAATATCAGACAGAAAGCGGAAGGTCTAACATGCCAAGAAGGTATTGCTGCTTTTAAAGACAACAACCTAACCTCGATCACACCGAACACACATTTACGTTCCAAACACCTGAGCTTTTCGCAGTGCGCTTTATTTGTGTGGTCAGGCAATGGCTGAGTCAGCTGGGTATTTTGCGAGAGTGTTGCTGTTGATATTAATATAACTTTATTTTCAGGCTCATTGTTCACATTAACACACTCATAATAACATGACCTGGAATAATAAAGACTGATATTCTTCTTCCATTTCCATTTCCATCTCATAGTTGTGTAATGATTGATAAGAGCATATTAATACAAGCTCAAATGAGAATTGGACTCAAATTATATCATAATTGCAGGTTAAATATGTTAATTTTTCTCATAGAATATATTTTGGATGCATATATTCACTTTAAAAAGTTCTGTTATCAAAGTTCTGTGGTTTTAAGTGTTATGATGATTGATCTGTATATTGTAAAAGCAGTGCACATTAGATTATTGTACATTTGACTGAATAGTAAACTTCAGGAATTATTTTAATGGGTTAATATGAGATTTTATCTATCAGCGATATCTTTTCTATTCGCACACCCAAAGCGAACTTCCACAGACACAGCGATGACGTCACATTCACCGCGCGCACTGAGTTCAGTAACTGAAAGCTGATTGGCTGTTGCATGTTGGTCTCATTTGTAGTTGTAATGCTGTAAATTACATTTGGACAAGCGACAAACTACAACACCACGAAAACCAACAACAACAACAACAACGAGAATTTAAGTGAAGTTTCACAAACTAATTTGGAGAGGAGCACGTGATGTGATTGACCACAGCTGGTCCCTCGTTTATAATCATTAGTTAGCCAATCAGATTAACCCAAACTCACTATAAGCAGCCCGGCTAAAACTACTCCCTTATCCTCATTTTCTGAAGAAACCCTCCATCTCCCCCAATCCTCCTTTACCACAGGGAGCTCTCGAGAACCACCTGACCTCGTACTCCCCTTACAAGCTCAATCGACCAGGCGGGAGCCCTGGGCTCAATTATCTCCGAGCTCAGGGTTCTCTCCCGGGACAGCATGCCAAACCTGCTTACATTTGTCAAACAATATCCAAGTGTGAACTCTTGAAATAAGCATTAGATGTAGCGTTACATAGACGTCGGAAAAATAAGACCTGTGCAGAATATGTAGGACCTACAACAGCCAATTTAAAACTTTATAAGGCCTAAAACTTCAGTGTTTAAATGTTAGAGTTTTTAAGACCCCGCTGAAACCATGTTGACGATATGCAAATAAATAAGAGATGACGCATGGCAAACTGAAGGTAATATGGTCTGGTATATTCAACTTTAGCCCACAATCAAGTTTGGTTTTTGGCCATTTATAAGAAAAAGTTTGGGCACCCCTGGATTAGATAATTAGATTACACGAGCTGGATTCAGTGGTCAGATGAGCGATATATAGTTTATTTTACCGCTTGGAAATGCTGTGTTAGTGAGAAAAATGCAAAACATAATAGGCTCACTGGTTGAACAGTCTGCCATGAGGTTCAATAAGGACTAGCAGAATTCTCCTGACATGTATGAACGCTGTTTCCAGAGGAGGCTCTCTAAAGATCAAGGAAGATGTTGGGGTTCAAGACTTTATCCTTGTACAAGAAACCAGCAAGCATCTTCAAAGATTTGCATGATGACTTTCAGCTGACTGAAGGAAAGGTTTCCTCATTCTGGGTGAAATCAGTGAAGGACTTGACCTGGAGCTTCAGCTTGCCGAATCGGACATCACAGTCATGTGATGAAGATGCAGAATGTGATGCCAGCGGTTTGTGTTTTAGCTTACGTTCTAAGAGGATCAGTCTCTAGAAGATGCCAGATGGTTGGCATCATCTCTTCACAGGTCTTGGATCAGATGGAGTGGCACTCCATGATGATGAGTATCCCCAGGTGGAAATGGAGAATAAGGAATTAGCGTAGCTGCTATTCATGATTTATTTGCACAAGAGATAATAAATGTGAAGGAATGCATCTGTAGATCCTACATCTATGCGCTGCAGTGTGTGTGCTTTACTAAACAGACCGGTCTTTAATCTAGTGTTGAGCTGGGAGAGTGTGTCTGAGCCTCGGACATTATCAGGAAGGCTATTCCAGAGTGTAGGAGCCATGAAAGAGAAGACTCGACCTCCTTTAGTGGACTTTGCTATTCTAGAACCAGAAGCGCTGAGTGTTGAGATCTTAAAGAGCGAGCTGGATTGTAGCACACAGCGCCCTGGGATCAATTAAGAGATGGCTGATATTCAGAGTGTGGTTTCATTTACTGCCACATCTTCAACTAATGCCAGAATCGAACCTGCAACCTGTTACAAGTCAAACTCCCTAACCAGTCCTGTTGTGTTCTGATGTGATGTCTGACTGTTGTCGCCGTGTAATAACTCTAATCATTCAGCGGAGTGATACAGAGCTGTAATGCGCTCTAAACCTGCCGGAACTACATCACCTTTGCCTTAATCTGACAATAACCAATCACCAGAGAGTAACCAGCAGCCAATCAGAAGCCCTGTAGAATAATGTTAGTTAACATCACCTTACTGTAAAATATCTCCAATATTACTAACAGATGCGACATGTTAATACAGGATTCCTAAAAGCTGATATGAACACACAGATGATTGAGTGCATTAAGGCTGGCGTGACACTCTCCTCCTGCCCTGTGTGTCCTCCTGCATGTGTCCTCCTGCTGCTGTGTGTGGCTCTGCAGTAACTCTCCTGAACACTAGATGGCAGTGGGTGTTCCTCTGTGTCGAGTTTCTTCGCTAGTGTTGTTTTTTCTGAATGCTTCCGTAATGTAGCAGTCGCTCAAACTCGCTCATTCAGAGGCGGGAACTGGAGGACGAGCAGCAGCTTTAATCATGAGGTGACCACAGAACAGCAGTGTCCATCTGCAGCTCCTTCACACTCGCTGCATCAGGCTCACACTCGGCACAGCCACCAAGCTGACCAATCACAGAGCTTGCGCTATGCATACTTGCATTTCTTGAGAGGTCAGGCATGGCGAGTGGTGTGCAACCGCACAAAAGCTGCACTGGACCATACGCAGAAGCAGAAATCAGCCATTAGAAGTAATGCACATGGTTAGTCCCCTAATCAACCTTACTGTACAATATTAGCAGCGGCATGTATATATTAGGGGTGTAACGGATCACAACCCACAGTTCAGAGCGTGTGAACTTCCTCTCTTCCTCTGTATTATAAGCGGGCATCAGAAGCTTAAAGTTGCGTAGCGCCATCTAACATCAAGGAATGATTTTGCATCCTCATGCTCGACGCCAGTGAAAAACACTTGGGTTTGAATCCAGTAAAACATCTTGAAAAACACTGACGATAAACGCAAACGAAAAGCGTCCCGGTGTGTATGAGCCTTTAGGCTGTTAATTAAAGGTGTTTCTGTCACTGTGCGTTTATCCTGCATTAATGCATTCAGTGCAAAGCTGCACTAATAAACATTAAAAGATGGTGATCTCAATTCAAACCCGCGCAGCATGACTGATAAATGATGATGATCTGCATATGTTTATTAATCCTTCAAAGCGCTGCAGTTTAATATGCGTTTGATCGAGACAGATTTCGATTTCATACTTTTGCAGTGAGTTACAAACAATTATATAACTCAGAAGTGCTGGAGAACAGATTATAGCTCAGATATGAACACTGGTGTTTATGGTAGGGGTTAAAATCACTGTTTAATGGAACTTGACGCTGGTGAATGTTGTAGCAATTACATCATGTAACCAACAGGTGGCGACAAACAGCCATCAAAAATAAGTCATTGAATTTGCTTTCAGAAATGATCCATCGATAGTGAAACCTGAAGTTTGATGTGTGAATTGTTGAATCATTAATTGAAGATAAATATGATCTGTTGATCAAGATGCTAGATTTCTATATTCAATATTATCAGCAACAGCAGCAAACATAACTTTTTGTTTTGTATTGAATATTTTACTTCTTTCTTGATTTTTATTTGTAGTAAAATTACAGGTTGTCGGATCTGTTTGGTAAAGCCAGTGGGTTTTGCAGTAATATAAATGGAAAGCAAATAACATTTGTCTCCTCCCTATTTTGCTGATCCGTGACTCAAAAACCACAGTGTGATCTGAACCATGAGATAGGGCTGTGCAATTAATCGAAAATCTGATTTTGATTTCGATTATGGC